CAGACTCAACACCGATCTGAGCCCGTGTAAAAGTCGTGTGTCTCTGCGCGTGTGAACGTTTCGGAACCGAGCAGTTGTCAAGGCTACAATCAAATTTCTCAATGTGCTTTTACTGCATTACTCCGTATTTTCTAGCCCTTTGACCCGAGTGATAAAATCGCTCAATGGCAGTATTCTTTTGAATCTGAGATGCCATGGGTGGTAAAGTTTGTGTCTGTTTTGTTCCTTTTTTGTTCTGTGCTTGGTTTATGGAATTCCGCGAGCCATCTTAGCGCACATGGATGGGGCTTTCCTAGCTTTGTTGCTAGGACAGTGGTTTTAAAGAATTCAGCTTGACAACATTTTGAACTGTTGGTGTCCCCAGGTAAATTGAACGTGGAGCAGTCTCCAACCCGACAGCCAAACGTTGTAAAACAGCCCCAGGCGTTTCGTCAAGCGCGAGACCAAGAAAACAAGGTGGGACCTTGTGTCAAGATCTGACACCTCCGAACTGCTCTGAAATTCCGCCTAGCATGAATGTCAACGCGTAATCCTATCCATGCTGCTCCTCCACCAACAGCCTTACAGTATTTGACCTCTTCGCTCATGTTGGAACTCGCGTGCGACACAAACAACTGTCACGCTGCCTTCGCCAGTTGTACAAAGGTCCGGCTGACAAACATCCCGAAGTCCAGCAGGCCCAAGTTTGCTTAAAACTTTGCCGGCGCTATTCTCAAAACATCGCCGGAACCATTGGAGAACCTTACGCTTTACTGAAATCGTTTTGGCGCCTTTCTGAAACCATGCTCAAACGAATTGTTTGTCTCAAATTCTCCCAACATGCCTCTGACACTGTTTACTATTCGGAAACCCATGCTAAAACGTAACTTTTCCCCCAAGTCTCCCAACACGCCTCTGACACCGTTCGCTATTCGGAAACCATCCTGAAACCATTCCGAAAACACTTTGAAACCATTCTGAAACCATTCTGAAACCGTTCTGACACCGTTCTGAAACCATTCTGTGAAACCATTCTGAAACCATTTGGAAGCCACTCCAAAACCATGTTGAAACCACTCCTGAACACATGTCCATGCAAATCGTCGAGTCTTTGTGGCCGCAACGCGCGAAACATTGTGAAGTTGCCTCCAGGCATTCCAAAGTGCTTCCGCACGCGTTTGACGCAAGTGCCGTGTGCAGCCCTGCGCTTTTATGAAAGCTTGTTGAGGCCTTTGTTGATTCATTCCTTCATCAGTGCAGATCCACCTAGGGAAGTTGCGCTTGGGTTGGCTGATTCATTGCGATATCCCATAAATTGGCCAGCGTGCGAGGGGGATGGTTCTCAGAACTTGTGTTGTGGCCCAGTGCAGATCCACCTAGGGAAGTTGCGCTTGGGTTGGCTGATTGATTGCGATGGTCCATATCCCATAAATTGGCCAGCGTGCGAGGGGGATGGTTCTCAGAACTTGTGTTGTGGCCCAAATGTGGGCCACCAAAACTTGACAGTTAATATTGTAATGTTTTCTGAAGTGGGAGTCATAGAGCCAGGAAGTCGTGCCATTTCTAGTCGGGGCGTGTCTAGTTTATACACGCGGTTTTGTCTGACCTTAGATGCGCCCATGCCCGTTAGTTAAGGTCTTTCGCGGGAGTCCATAGCTTGCTTCACAGTATCCACTCATGCAGCAATCTCATTGCCATTTCCTGGCTCAAGGCTTGGTAGCTTTTGCAATCTCTAGCTCATGCAAAAAAAGCCCGCTTTGCTGGCTCGGGTACAGATTGCGCTTGTTCCTCTTGGAACAAACCACTGCTTACAATTCCATTGGGACCCTCTATTCGCAACCACAAGGGGTTGGGGCTTACACCTCACCGCCAAAAAGCTTGAAACATCAAGAGCCACATTCTCGCCCACCCACCCGTACACCCACTCGCGCACTCCTCCATGCGCTCGCGCACTCACTTGTCCACTCGCGCGTCCACTTGTCCACTCGTACGTCCACCACACGCCCGCCCATACACTCGTACAGATTCTCACCCACACAGTTTCTATGTTGGTTTTTTGAACAAATAGGGCCTCATTTTCCCGAAAATCGGCCTTAAAACAGTACGGGTCAACATCTGTGCGAGTGTGCCGGCAGGCGTGCGAGTGGACGAGCGAGTGGATGCGCGAGTGAACGAGCGAGCGGTATAGGATTCCACACCAACAGAAATCAGGCCGATTTAATGACAACACTTTGTTTGTGGCTTGCGCGCCGACTCTTGCACCCACTCGTGCCCCCTCTCACGCCCCTGATCTCGCGCGCTCCTGCGCTCGCTGCTCCACTCGCACATGCACTTGCTCGTGCACCCGTCTACTTGCACGCATGCCCGTGCGCTCGTACGGCGCAAGGCCGTTTTTTCGGGAAAAACACGCGGAAATAAGCCGAACATCGGGCTAATTTCTGCACGTGTGGACTTGCGCAAGTCTACACGCACATATTTTCTGAAAATCGGGCCTATGTGTGGCGCCGGACAAGTCCTTTTGCACGCACACCCACTCGTCCACTCGCAGGTCCATTCGTACGCCTGATCGCCCGGTCGATTTTCCACTCGTACGGCTGCCTAGCACGCCTACTCGTCCACTCGTGCGTCCACTCGCACATGCGTCCACTCGCACACCCACTCGCGCCCCACTCGTCCACTCGTGCGTCCACTCTTACGCCTACTCGTCCACCTGTACGTTCGCTCGCGCGCCAACTCGTCCACTGAAACGTCCACACGTAGTCCACTCATCAAACCACTACTCGCACGGATGTCTAATTGGGCCTGAGTAAGAACTGTTTACGAGGTTTAGACCCCAGCCAAGTAATAATGATGATCACCAGTGATGACGATGAAAACTATCATCATAGCACCCCTGCATCTCCAACGCTCTCTAACGCCACTTGTCGACATGTATAGATCAGAACAGCAAGGGATGACAATGACCAAGGATGACAAAACCTCACGACGACGATGACAACTATGATGAACGCTGCCCATGCCCAACAGCCCCTGCGAGACAGTTCCCCTGCCGGAGGAAGGCGCCGCGAGGCTGAGCTGGCTGCACGACACTTGCCTGTCTGGGCTGGACTGGGAGTCCGACGCCGAGGAGGTGAGCTATCTAGCACCCCGACATCTCCAAAGAGATACCGACGACGATGATGAGCGGACTTGAGAGGCAGGGATGCGGAGTCACGATTCTCATCATGACTGCTGGCAATGCTGAGGATGCATAGCGAGGAGTAGCAGCAACAGGGATGATGAGTGATGATTATCATCATCCCTGCTGATGATGTTGGGGATACGGAGTGGTGATTCATCATCATCCACATCTTCATCATCATCATGCTGCTCATCATCATCCATCATCATCATCATTTGGGGCTTGCCTCTATCAGTAAATTGCATGCCTTCTTTGCGCGGGCGAGGAGGGGCTGCACAGGCTTACCGACTCGGCAACATTTACCCTAATTTTGCGGAACGTTTACCCCGAAACTGGCGGTAAATTGTGAGCAAACTAAAGGGAAATTGTATAGCGTGGGAAACAGTAGGAGGAAGCTTGGTTGGGAGAATTTGGGAGACATGTTGCGAGTAATTTACCACCAATTTTGTGGGTAGTTTACCCCCAATTTTGTCTTGTTGATTATTTACCTCAAATTTTGTCGGTAAGTTACCACACGGTGATTTACCCCCAGTTTTGTGGGTAATTTACCACCCAGTTTGTGGGTAATTTCGTTACAAACCACAATTTTGGAAATTGGGGGTGTTGGGGGTAAATCTTTGTATACCGTTGGGAATCCTGGGATTTACTCCCTAATTTTTGGACTCGTTACTTACCACCAATTTCCAAAATTTGCGGTTAATAACGAGTCCCAAACTTGGGGTAAATTGCGCACAAATTTGGTGTAAATTACCCACAAATTAGAGTGTAAATTGCCGACTAAATTGGGGGTAAATAACCCACAAAATCGGGGGTAAGTCGACGATGATGATGATGATGATGAGCGCCATGATGATGATGTAAGGACGACGACCGCGATGATGATGATGATGACCAGCGCAGTGACGAGGGGGACGCTGATGATGATGAATCATCACTATGCACTCCCAGCATCATAAGCAAGGGTGATGATAATCGTCGCTACTTCTCTCCAACATGAGTGATGGTGGTTATCAGCACTGTGCATCTCCAGTATCGCGAGCAGTCATGATGATCGCGACTACGCACCTCCTGCGACTCAAGTTCGCTCTAGCGGGATACTGGAAACGTGCCAAAAAGAAGGCTGACGACGATGATAATGAGCACCATGTTGGTAATGATGCTGATGTTGATGAATCATCGCTGCGCACCCTCAAAATCACCAGCAGGGATGATGATAAATCATCACGCCTCATCGCATAATGATGAGACTGATGATGATGATGATGATGATTCGTCGCTACGCATCCCCAACTGACCAGCAGGGATGAGGCTCGTCATCACTACTCATCCCCATCATCAGTGATGATGAGACTGAGAACATCCCCAGCACCACCAGCAGTGATGATGGTCAGCTTCACTGACGCTCCCTGGCCTGAATGCCATTTCAAAAAGATCAAGGCGACGAGACAAGCTATTGGCAGGACCAACCAAGGTTGAGGATTACCATGATGATGACCGTGAGGACTGATGGTCATGATGATGAGCGTCGCGAGAACGATGATGCTGCTGATGTCGATCGAGTCTTGCTCGTCTACCAGCCACCCTTGGACTTGACCCCCGCCCCTTTGAGCAGAAGGGGTTGGCGGACTTCACGATCACAAGACTCGGAGCCTTTGACTAAATAAGCTCACACATGGGGCAGGCCAACAATATGCAACAGGCTCCTGGCACGCAACAGGCAAGTGAACATAAGTAATGGTGTTGATAGGGCTTCTGCATAAGCCATCGCCACTGCAAATGCTCAAGGGTTGGCGCACTGCAACATCTTGCGCAGCGCCATGTGCGGTCACAAAGCGCCCAGGACATGTACTTGGCTCACTCGGCCATTTTGGCCGCGCGATCTGACTTCTTCAAGGCTGCATTTTCTTCCGTTTCTTGGACTGAGGCATTTGGGATTCAAGCCCGGAAAACACTTGATGTTCGCAGCACAGCTCGGCTTACAACATTGAGAGGAAGCTTGGAAATTGGCCGTTGAATATCCCCAATTGATATTGGGGTCGCTGAAGCAGCCCCAGTTGCCAAGAATGAGGCTTCAGCCCATGTTCTTGCGTGATTGGCCAATGACTGTAGGTTGCGCGTTGGTCCGACCTGAGATGTCACTTCAGGAAATGCTGGAGCGAAGCTCCTTGATGGTTACCTTGCACCACTGCAATGACCGCCCGCGTCGTGAAAGCATGCTTGCCCTGCTCTACTTTCTGTACACAGGACAGGATCGTTTCTTGGCCTTGCCGTTGAAAGGTGGACTGATGAGCGCTGCGAGCGCTACGGGGTCCAAAAACTATTTTTCTAGTTTGTGGAGCTTGGGCTCGCCCGAATAGGTAAAAACGCGCTGGCCACAATGAAGCTGCTCTGCTTTCGAATTCCTTCTTCAGGGATTGGAACTGTTGAAGACTTGCCGGTTTCATACTGTTGGCAGGAAAGACGAGCAAGATCAATGACTCGAATGCCCTGGATGTGCTTTCGCTTCTGGGTGCTGAAGGCAGGACAAGGTCAGTCAAACGTTCGTGTCCACTTGCCGCGCGTCGCCGCAAGTGAGAAACAGCACATTTTCAAGTATCGCGTCTTGGACGCAGCGCGGTTGTGATTGTATGCGTTGAATTTGTGGCGTGCGCTCTTCAGTCTCGTAGTCTCAAAACGGTGGACTCCTTTTTGATTGGTGTTTGGAGCCAAAACAAGTCTCCTAACACCCATGCCAGCTCAGCTTGCCCAGGGGACGCTGGTGGCTATCTTCAGATGCATGACGGCCAAACGCTGCGGTGTGCCTGCGAGGCAGCGGCCAAGCATGCGGCGCTTTGGATGCATATTACTCACGACTGCGAATGAACAAAATCCACGGCTCCTTCTCAGACCCACCAACTGGTGCAGGATTCCGCCCTTCCACAGCATATTTGCCGGAGAATCTTTGCGTTAGTGCCTGCCACTGAATGAGCAATTTTCATGTTTGTGTGGGCGTGTTTCCCCAAATTGTGCGTTCACACTAGGGGTTCTTCCAGCATTGGCTAGGGCTGGCTTAGACCGAGGGTTCGCGCCAAGAGTGTTGGCAAAAAGGTTGCCTTCGAAACCTCCTCAGTTCAAAAATGCACTTGTTTTTCGGCGCCGTGAAGTTTTGCCTTTTTTGACGGCAGGGACACTGGCAGATCTGGTTGGTGGTTGGTTGGTTGGTTGGCTGGCTGGCTGTTTGGCTGGCTGGCTGGCTGGTTGGTTGGTTGGTTGGTTGTTTGCTGGTCCAGTGGCTGATTGGTGGGTTGGTTGGTTGCCAGTTCCGTGGCGTCCAGCTCAACCAGCCGCATCCCCAGCATCACTCCTATTGGCTTTGAAGGGCTTGACATGCGCTTTGCAGGGACGCTTCAGGTCGCGGGAAGGCGCTTCGTGCGCGACGGTCTAAACAGGCGCAGCGTGGCTGTGAGTTTCGTGGGCGCATCATCTCATTCGCTTGCAAGTGTTGCAAAATGAGAGCGAACCCTCCGTGCAGATCGCGCATGTCGAAGCGCTCTCGCTGTAGCGCACGAATGTGTCTTGGTCGCGCGAATGGCTCTCGTCGCGTCGCCGCGGCGGCTGTTTGTTGCGTTCTTTGCTTGCGAAACGGTCTTTGGAAGTTGTCTCGTGGTTTGCGCGCCTGCTTTTCGCAGGTTTGGCCCGCCGCGTCCTCCGAGGCAGCTCCGGATCGAAAAGCGCAACCTCTCAACCCAAATTTTCCGCTCGGGCTGCAAAGTCGCCAGTTTCAAGCGCAAAAGTTGCACGCGAACTGCTGGGTCGAAAAGCTTTCAGCAAGCGCGCGAAGAGCATTCATGCAGCTCCGGCTCGAAAGTCGCTACTTTGAGTTGCAAAACTAGTGGGCAAAGAGCGCCCCCGCAGCTCCAGCTTGAAATTCGCAACTTGGAAGTACCACAGTAGCATGCGAAGCGCGCCCCCACAGCTCTGCGTGGAAAGCTGCAAGCGTCTACTTGCAAAGGTAGTGCGAACTCTTGCAGCTCCAGCTTGAAAACCACAATTTTAAGGAGCAAGAGCAGCAATTACGCTTCTGCGTCCCCAGCTCAAAAAGCCACAACTTGCAGCAAAATACACTTCCGCAGCTAAAGCCGCCAGCCTTCTTGCGCAGCCAAACTGAGCACAGGTATGGGCAAGACAAACTGACAAGAGAAACGGACATGAAGAGAAGCTGCAGGGCAGCGTGTGTAAGAGGGGGCGTCTTGCGTTGCTCATGAGCAGCGTCTTAGACCGCGTCGAGCGCAGCATCGTGCGCGGCATCATGTGCAACATCAAGCGCAGCGCCAACCGCTCGCAGCGTTACGCGCAGCATCAACTCACGGCATCGCGCACAAGAGAAGTTGACAGGAGAGATTGTGAAGCGTGATGCTAAGCTTGCTCATTAGAACTTGCAGAAGCTACGCTTGAGCAGGGACATTGACGTGCGTACGTTTTGTTGCTCATCAGGCGCAGGCGTGGTTTTCAGTTTCCTATGCTTCCGGCCCACCCACCGTCACGTTCAACCCTGTGGGAAAAGCAACAGCAGCACGCAGACTCTGGGTTGCCGGGACGGTTCGGCCGCGTTTCCCTACTTTTGTGGGTTCCACGAGCTGCCCTTGTTCAACTTGAATTCGTGGCTTGTGTCAAAGAAAACACTTAGGCCGGCGAAGATGAGGATGGCTTCATCAACCTTTTGCTGGAGGCCGCTTGTTCTGTGGATGCGGGCTGTTTGTTTTTGGGTGTTCGTGTCCCCTGCTTTCATGCCCCCTCGCCAGCGCGAAGACGAGGAGCCCAAAGAAGAGCAACATGTTTCCCACAAGAGGCCATGGAAACATGGCGGTGTCAATGGCCCTTTGTTGACTTGGATACGCGTGGAGGCGGACGAGTTGGGCGCGACACGCCTGAAAAAGTGGGCGATCCGCATGACCGTGCACCATTTCAAGGACTTGGCACGAAGGCTGGGGCTCGCGAACGGCGGCTTTCCCACATCCAGCCGCTGGGCTCAGTGAACTTCAGTACTGCTCGGGGTCATCGCGCTTCCGCTTCCTGCTGTTTTTCACACATGCCGACCGCCAGGGGCGATCTGGCTGTTCTGCCTGCAGAGCTGCTCAAGGAGGTCTTTCAGGAAGTGGCGATCGTGTATGATAGGCCGCGGCGTGATGTGGCCACGCAACCGTCAGCAAAGTTGGGCCCCGCCCTAGCCACGCTCATAAGCCATCAAACCTCAGTGGCGCGGCACGACGCCTAATTGAACGCCGGGTCTCTAACAGATGGCAAGGAAAGAGTGAGCGCGTGTGAAAAAAACGTGGGCGTTCCGATTTTCGGGGCTTTGGGGCGGGTAGCCCGATCGCGGCGCCTGCTCGCAGCAGGCTTGGAACGTGTTGGGAGCGTGGCGAGGTACAAGTTGCACGGAGGAAAGGAAACGAAAGGAAGGCCAGATGAAAAAACAGACAATCAGGGTGTTTAGATGGACACATGGATAGATGGATAGGTAAACAAAGAGGATGGTTTGGTAGAAAGGCAATGAGGTGCATCTATATAGACAGAAGGTAGGCGAAGGAAAGCCAAAACAAGGAGGAGAGAAAGAAAAAAAAAGCAGCAAGAAAGAAGAAACAATCGCACAGAGAGAGAAGAGAGAGCGAGAGAGTGAGAGAGAGAGAGAAAGAGAGAGGGAGAGAGAAGGAAGAAAAAAGAAAGAAAGAAAGAAAGAAAAGAAAAGAAACAAAGCGAGAGCGAAAAGGAAAGGAAGAACAAAAAACAAAGCAAGAAACAGGAAAGAAAGAAGGAAGAAAGGCAGGAAGGAAAGGAAGGAAGGAATGAAAGGAAGGAATGAAGGACGGAGAACGACGACAAAGACTAAGAGAGGAAGAAGACACAAAGAAAGCAAGAAAGCAACAGAAGGAAGAAACGAAAGAGAAAGGGAACTTAGCCTGACATTTTCTCGAATGTGCAGCAGAAGGGTTCCCGTGTGAAGGTGGGTGGCTCTGGGTTCAGGCGTGACCAACGTGCGCCTTGTTCTCTGGGAGCACCCTTCTCCATCTCCGAAACCGCGCTACCAACATAGCCACCAACATAGCTGTTGGGCTGGAAGTCGCGCAGGGGAAGAAGCGCCAGCGCGGCGTTTTGGTTTTTGAGGCTAAACAAGGTGTCTCCGTTGTTTTTGGCTCTAACAAAGGTTGGCAACCCATGTAAACTCTCAACCGCAGGTCTCAATAACAATAGGAGGCCCAGGAAAAAGTCTACCTTCTTATGTGCGTAGTCATTTTCAAAGTGCCGGTGTTTTGTTTCAATTGAATGTCGGGTTCAAAATTGAAGCTAAACGCTATTTCCAACGGCGCTCTCCGCAGCCAAAAACAAACACAGCGCAACTGCAGTGAAAAGCGCAGGTGTTGAGAAGTGACGCCGCCTAGCCCAGGGGCAGGCAAAATAACAAGCCCTTCCCTTACAGCTCTGTCCATTGCAAAAAAGAGGCTTGGAGCAACTAGGCCTGGCGGGGTTGTTGAAAATGGTAGGTTGCCCGCAAGGGAAGAAGCTGTAAAGAGGCCCCTCAGCATGGATGTTTGCCTTTGAGAAGTAGTTGTTGAATGCTCGAGTTGGTCCACGCGAGAGTTGCAGTCAGTCCGAGATGTGTCCAGGTGGTTCGACTTGGTCCAAGTCTGGGTGGTTGTTCAACTGGACAAATTGGACCATGTGGGCCAGCCGGACCAAGTCGACCCGCCGTTCACCAAGAGACTCCGTTTTGCATGGCCTTGCTGACGCCAACCACACGCGCGGCAGCGCGCCGCCCGCCCGCCCGCCGCACGCGCGCACGCGCGTCACCCGCTCCACGCGCACGCGTTCACAAGCGCAGGCGCGCGGACGCTGAGATCACTTATAGCGCGCCGGAGAGTGGCAAGCTTGTTGTGTTTGTCGAAGGGTTGCTTGAGTCATGGAGTGATCATTGTCACAAACCACCTCCTTCAAACCATCGCGCTGTCAGTCTTGAAGCGTTGGGTGATCTTTGCTACAAAACAAGCAACTTCAACATAGCCCAGTTTGATCAACATAGCCCAGTTTGATGAGAAGCGCTCGTTTGCCTCATGACACTGTCTGAATCAAAGGGAAGCGAGACTTGCATTTGTTTGAACCATGCGATGCTACCGCATGGCCAGGGTACTGCCCTCAGCTGCCAAGGGCATGCGCTGGGAGCTTACATTGCTACCAAAGCCGGAGAAGTGCTTGGAGAACACGGCGGAGGCGCGGTCTGAACACAAGTGTCGCACACTCACCTTGTCTCCCTGGTTCAAAAAGCTCGTCGAGGGTGCAGAATGCCTCATAAATAGTTGCGCCTCCCCGACGTTCGTCAGAGCTGGTTTGGCCGCCCCAGCGGCTGGAGCGAAATCATTTGAGCGTTTTTGGCTTTGTCCGGCCACAAGTACGGCCTGCATATTCATGGCCTGTTTTGGCTGAGGCGCTGACTTCTCCAGACCTCTCTAGCAGCGCAGGCGGGGAGAAGCTCAAGCTTTGTGGTTGGTCCCTCCATTGGAACGGGAAGGAGAAGCCAGGGCAAATTTCACAGCTTAGGAATAACAGCTTGAGCATATGTTTGTCTCTGTGTGTTTGTGGCTCTGCGACATTGTGTGTGTGTGTGTGTGTGTTTGTTTGTGTCTCTGCTGCGCGTGTGTCGATGTGTCTTCTGCGTGTTTGTGTGTCTCGCGTGTGCCTCTGCTTGTCTCTTTGTGTGTGTGTGTCAGTGTACGCCTCCATGGGCGCAATGTCTACGAGCGAGTCTCTGTGAGTCTGTCTGCTTTTCTTTCTTTTTTTCTTCCTGCGCACGTGTCTTCTGTGTTTTGTGTGTCTCTGTGAGTGTGTGTTCGCGCGTGTCTTTGCAAATGTGCTTCTCGGTGAGCGTGCGCCTCCGCGAGCGTGCGTGTGATTACGCGGGTGTGCGTGTCGGTGTTTGCGATTATATCTTTTGGGCCTGCGGCCTCTAGCTGGCTATGCCTCTTTGAAGTTATACCATGTCATGTCATGTTTTTTGTGGGAAACGTATCCTGTGCTACGACTTGCTCCGATGATGCCGGGGATGCCAGCTTTCTGGGCCCCAGCCGGGCCCCAACCCAGAAGGTTCACATGTAGCCAAAGCTAGCAGGCAGCTTGCCAAGCGGCGAGCTACCCCAGGAGGCGAAGCCGGATATACGTTGCTGGCGCACAACCGGCCGCGGCAGCACCACGCGGCTCAATCAGCCGACAAAATGCCGGGCTGCGGCCCCAAGCTGAGAGCAAACGAGTGCTCGCCGGCAAAAGCAACGCAAGTTGAGCGCAAGCGACTGTGGCATGAGTCGAGCAACTCTCAGGTGCCAAGCGCACGAGCCAAAAAGCAAGCGCACTCTGTCAGCACTGCGCGCTTGATACGTGCCGAAGGACCCGCGCAGATGCGTCGTGGGCGGCCAAAGACGCATGCCGTTGTCGGACACAGTAACGGCCAGCGCCGGTGCTACGGTCAGGTGGGTGTACTTGTGGGGTTGGCTGACAGGAAGCCAGCATCCACTCGTGCAACACTCTTTTCGGTGTGTTTTCCCTTCACTTGGTCTGTGAGGGTGCAGGTTGCTCCTGGAATGTGTACCCTTTTCAGGGAAATGAAGCATGTGTATGTTTGGTTTATTGTATTTGACTGAGACCACCATATGTAATACTTGCACGTACGATCTTTTTTTGTACGTGCTTGCTGAAACCATATGCATATATATATATATACATATATTTGTACGTGTAAGATTTGGTTTTCACGCCATGTTTTGTCACAGCCACATAGATAATCGTTGGATGTTGCGACCGTTTTACGTACGTACTAGCTAGAACCTGGGACTTATTCTTTGGATGTGACTGTCTTTTTATTATCTTATGTGCATGACTGGTATTATATATGTACTGGTCAAGACCAGAAGAGCAACATTTGGTGTTATGTCTTTTGATGCTTTTGGTTTATAAAACCCTGTCCCAAAAAAACGAAACACAACAAAACAATTGAACATGACGACAACAACAACAAGGACAACCGCAACCACAACCACCACAACAACAGCAGACACGATTGCAAGGTGGACTTTGTTCAGGGCCTGTCACTGACGACCACCAACAACCGACGAACCAACTCGCGCGCGCACGCACGCAGGCACGCACGCGCGCCCCGCGCGCGCAGACGCACACGCGCGCCCCGCACGCTCGCGCGCGCATTCGCGTTCATGCCTGCGCTGCACGCGCGCAGGCACGTACAACGCGCGCGCGCATGCACTTGCAGAGCGCAGGCACGCGCGCACTCATTCAGCCCGGGCTAGTAGCCACGCAAAGCATGTCAAAATCTTTTTTGGGTTTTGCAGTGAACACTAAAACCCTTCCTTTTTTCAGTGTTTCAAGGCTGCAGCAGGACGCCGTGTGGAAGGCAGCTCCCAGCAGCATCCCCAGCATCATCCGCATCACAGGCAAGCCCGCAGACTCGCAAGCCCGAGGCTGCAGACCCAAAACCGGACCCAAAAGCAAGCCCAAAAACGCACCCACCAGAAGCAGATTGCTCTGCGATCCCTTGAGGCGGCCCTCTGCCATACCATGTGTTTGGGAAAATTGGAATATTTGGTATTCCAAGACAGTGAAGCGCCCGATGGTGAGTACCAATTCGAACCTGTCAATTGACCGGAATGATTGGGAATCAATGCCACCATCTCTTAGCCTTTAACGAGCATTTTTGCTTTTGCCGTCGACATAATTCTGGCCCCGGCCCCGCAGGTGTAACGCGCCGTAAGCGTGGCAAAGTTGGATTTCGTGACAGGCGCAGTATTGTGGATGGTTTTGAGCGAGGAAGTCAAACAGAAGAAGCCGGCGGGGTGGAAGTTTAAGTGACAGATTGGCACATAGATAGGCAGGCAGGTTGGTAGATAGAAGAACACCGTACTACATATAGGTGAAAGATAGACAAATGAGGAGCGATAGGCGATGGATAGGTAGGTGTGTGGGCGATCTGGTCGGATCAGTAGGGCAATAGGCAAGCAAATGGATTGGCAGAGACACACTGATGGACATGCCGCTTTAGCTTCGGGGCTGATTACGCACAAAAGTCGTTAAAGATAGCGTTTGGCGAGTAAGGCGCCTGTGGCACCTCTGGCTGCTTTCGGGCAGCCTTGGCCACTTGGCAGATAGCTGCAAGGGAGCAATCGCTGCGACGGTGTACTAAGACTTAGGTTGCTACTTTTGAGCAGCCGGTTCGGGTGCGCCGCATTCGCGTGGGCGTGGACCTCGCCAAGGGGGACTTTGACGCAGCAACGGCTAACGATTTCAGGCCGCAAGAGATTTTTTTTGAATCCGGTTTGTCGCCTACTGGCCCAGCGGCATGGGTACTTGGGGATGGCCCAAATACCCCACACTCCCTGAGCACGTTATTGAAATGGCTCACGTACCTCACATTCCCGTTAGTCATACAGCTTGCCAGCACGCAAAGCGTAAACGCCGCAGCCAGTCTACGCAGCTTCCTTTGAAGAGGGTTTTCGCTTTTGATGGCGTTCTTGCCAAGGATGCCAAGCTTCAGTACCTGAACACGACAGGCGTTTGGCAGGCACCGTGCGAGAGTGCGAATGCCACTAGTTAGAGGCTTCCGGCTGTAAAGGATTGAGCGCCAGGCTTGTTGACTTGTGACCGGGTCCAGGCTTGATGTTGGCAGTCGCAGGTGCCAGCCAGGCAACACGAAGGCAGAGTTGGTAGAAAGAGGCGAGCAATTGGCTAGAAGCATTCAGCACTCTCAAGCAATCATGTGCGCACACGTTGCTACGCATGTGTTTGGCAGGAACTAACGCGCCCTGCCGCCGCAATTTTCCTGGTTGCATTTTTCCGCCCTATCAGGACGGAAATGTGAGAGTGGTCATTGGTGACCGCTTGGTGCGGGATATCGAGCTTCCGGAGGCTGGCAAGACAAATCGCATTCGGCCAGGGTCAGGAACGGCGCAGCGTGACAGTCCCAAAGTGCCGCAGTTGGGAAAGACCACGCACAGACACACACACACACACACACACACACACACACACACACACACACACACACACACACACACACACACACACACACACACACACACACACACACACACACCACACACACACACACACACACACACACACACACACACACACACACACACACACACACACACACACACACACACACACACACACACACACACACACACACACACACACACACACACACACACACACACACACACACACACACACACACACACACCACACACCACACACCACACACCACACACCACACACCACACACCACACACCACACACCACACACCACACACCACACACCACACACACACTGACACACGTGTACACGCATGAGACGCATACGCACGCACACATGCTCATGCATACGCATAGACATAGACATACACATGTACAGATACGCTCATACACGCACGCTTAGACACACACTCACACTTCCACAAACACAGGCACCCACATACACATACAAATACATTCACTAACTGGGGTACCAGTCTTGCACCAGGCAGGTCTCAGATCAGGGGGTTTTTAAGGGCAAACTAGACTTCTCGGCACTTCTGGAAAGTAGCATGTGGTACCAACATGTTGACAATTTGTATGTTTGGTGTGGAAATTGGTTTGAGTTTTTACTGGTGCATGAGCGTGATAAAAAGTTGGTAGGCCCCTAAGTCTTCCCTGAATGTGTTCTTGACTTGTTCCAGCTGGTTGTGTGTATTTTTGGCGTCCTTGGCATCTTCGTGTATAGCTAATTAATTTGGCTGCAGCGACAATTTAATAAATTGACGACAAGCAATTAAATTGCACACGTTCCTATTTGTCTCTCGTCAAGCAACTTGCCATGTGCCATGTGACACGTGAGTTTCTAGCCAAGTATCGTGTGACTGACGGATGGAGGTAAGTGGTTGACGGTGGCTTTTGTTTTTAAAGATGATTAGCATGCTGGCGCGGGCAGGGGCAGGGCAGGGGCAGGGCAGGGGCGGTGTCTTGCTTCAAACTCTGAGTTGCTGTTTTTGAACGATGGGTGAGTGCATTCTGATGTGCGCTCATGCTTCGTTGTCAGTGGTTGGGCGCCCTGGAACTGGGTGCTGCTTGGGGGTAGCAGTTCTGAGGGAGCTACCATTGTTCTGAGGATTCCAGCAACACCTGTTGAATTCTGCTGTTGCACGCAAGGCCCTCCCTAAGATTTGCAAAGCTTATATTGCAAGGTTCAGTTTGCTGTCGCTGGTCATTTGTTTATTGTGGGGGCTTTGGCATTCTCTTGCGGCGCCTGGGGCATCTTCTTCACTGCCCGGACGCCCAGACTCTGAGTGTCAGTCGTGTCTGCGCGTTTATGAGAACATTGCGCACGACGGACATATCGTTTGTTAACATTGGCTGCTGTTGATTGAGTGCCTGAGGGAAGTAGCCTGCAAGGTCTGTGCTGGCTGCCGTATGATGTGGCTCTGGCGTGTTTGTGGGCTTCTGAGCTTTTCGAAGTGTTTCCAAATCGACAGGCACGCATTTCAAGCATGTTTTTAAGCTTCATCTGGCTCAAGGCGTGTGCCAACTTGTCATTTGACTTTGACTTTGTGAAAGTGGAAACATGTCGCCGCCTGACCTTGAACAAGGGCCTGCAACTCCATCATTCGCAGTCGCCGCGGACCAAGAGCCAAGGTGCATATTTGACACGTCGCCCAGCTATTGTGTTAGAGTTCAGTTCAATTGTTCTATTACTATATGATTCGGTGTAGTGATTGAAGCCTGCGTCATTTTCAAAGTACGGAAGCTGCTTGATATTTGAACCAAAGCGGACCAATCATGTGATCCACGTTCCTATGAACCTGGCTGCCGCTTATCTCGCCGCATCTGCCCCCAATTGTCGCGAAGCGTCCCATCGAATCATGTCATCTACGCAGAGGGAGTTTTTTGATCCCACCGCAATGCTGCTTGCTTGTAACGTCCAGCGTTCTGGCATGATCCCAAGCATCGGTGATGGATTGTCCGTTTCGCATGTTCACTGAACTAAATTGTGTGTGTGTGCTACATGGCATTTTGGCCACTGTCACGACTTGACTTGTGTCACTGAGTTACTCGTGTCAATTGCGCTAAACTGCGACAACGCAGGTTGCTGGAGATGGCACAAGAATTCAGGTTTGCGAAAAAACTTGTTTTATGTGGTGAGCGGTACGTCGGCTTTGTTCTTTGGCAGTCACAGGATGTAGGTCAAGTTGTGATGGGCAAGATTGACAGTTGATTTTGTCGCCAGTGCTGAGGGCGCAGCTGACGGTTGACATTTGCGCCTTTTGCTTGTCAGTGCACACTCTTGAAGTAGTAGTTGTAGTTGTAGTAGCAGCAGCAGCAGCAGCAGTAGTAGTAGTCGTCGATGTCGTCGTCGTTGTAGTAGTAGTAGATTGTGAATGCAATCAATGGCATATGACTTATGAGATATGTCATGTGCGTAGTTGTAGTTAAGGTTTCATAATCGCAGTGGCAGGTCTGGGGCGCGCAGCAAAACAGTTGAGCTTGTAACCTGACAACTTATGTCAATCTTTGCTTTGCCAGCAGCAACATGGCTCATATGACTGAATCAGTTTGTCAGCGGCCGTTCTGTAGCTTTGAGCCAAGACACATTGCGAGTGCTTGTTATGATCATGCGTTCTGTTCACCTTGCTGCCTGCAGCTGCCGCTCGGCCCCTAAGGCTAGAACTTTCAATTTCACGTGGACGAAGAGTAGAGCACAAAGGCGTGGACAGTGTTGGCGCTCTGTCGAGATACTGGCTGACGCGCTGAGCGGTAAGGCTTGAGGTTGAGGCCAGGAGGACAGCAGTGGAGCCAGTGCCCCGCTTGAAAGCATTTGCGCTTGACAAACCACCCCGGAACCTGCAGCTATGGTATGCTCAGATTTGGCACATTTGACATTAATTTGAACATTTGGAATTTCACGGAGACTGATTGGCATGGACAGCGTCGCTGTTAGGCCTTAGGGCCCACGGGGCGGGGGGGAAGCATGGCGGCCATGGACGCTGGTCCTTTGGGCGACGAGCGCTTCAGCCCGGCAGCATTTATCATTTTCGGCGGGGAGGAGGGGGTGAGCGTCCTTCAGAGCAGGAGCCTTGTAATCAATTGACATTGACTCTGGCATTGACATTTGACTCATTCATTCATTTTTTTCTTGACTCATTGACATTGACAATGGCTCAGCAGTAAGTCATCCGCCACTCAGCTTTTCTTGGATTGTGACTGACTGATGCGCTCGCTCTTGCTTCTTGAATTGTGGATTGATGGTTGGCAGTAATGCTAACACACTCAAGAAGGAGCAGCAGGTGACTTGTCAAAACTTGTGCGAGCGTTGGGTGAACAATGCAGGGCAGTGCAATTGCGACATGCCCAATTTGATGATTGTTGGCTTGACATGCTTGTGATCTGCCTACTGCTGAGGCCATGGCTCTCCTGTACACAGAAGACAAGCAGCAGTGGCTCAACATCATGGAGCTTAGTTGGCATTAAATCGTTAGCTGTCCGCCAAATCAATCAGGTTCCAGCCAGTGTCTCATTGTGTGCCTCCTGACCGATGGCCTTGAAGCTGTAGTTGGTCAAAATGACTGACCCGTATTTATTGAGTCTTTGTAATAACAATGTCGCTCCAGTGACTTTCCAGTATCTGAGGAGGCTGAAAACCATGGCAGACAACAGCTCGGTCAACAATCAAACAGCATGGGTCATCTCCGCGCGCAGCGCGCATTTGGCCATCCACCGCGGACTGCGTGACTTGGGCAATTGTGAGTACTTAATAGCCAGTCTCAAACGGCCACAAGAGGCATGAAGTGCCCATAGCCTGGCTGATGTGTATGCTTGTGCTCGATATGCAAGGAACATATTGCCATGTTTCTGTCGCGCTTTTTGACAAATCTGGCTATGAGATCGGTCTCAGCGATTACTTGAGTGTTTGGTCAGTCCTGTGAAACGATTTGACCAAAGCAGTTGTGGAAACGGGAAGCGGTTGCATCCTGCCATGCCCTGTAGGAGCTCAGCAGACTGATCCGAGCACGTGGCACTGAACTGGAGAGAGTGGGTGAAAAATCGTCAACGCGACAGCTTGCTGAACTGCATGTGACACTCATCATTTTGAAACTGACATCTGTGTCACTTGAGACTTGACTTGTGTCCTGTCTTCTGCAGTGCGTGATTGGACTGTGGCAACTGTGGTCACGTCGGTTGGTGGTTGTTGAGGATTGCGCAGCATGCGATCAATGAACTCACCATTTGGCTCAGAGATGATCTGGCCACATGACACATTGCGCATGACACATGACACTTTTGAATTTGCATTTGACACGTGGCGCCTGGCATTTGGCAAATCATTTGGCATTTGGCAAATCGTAATTCATTTGGCATTTGCATTGAATCGGTCGAAAGCATGCTCATTCCAGCTGGGGGACGCCTAAGACTTGATTAGTTATATATAGGGCTTGCGCAGTAACTTGGAAACTGTGGACTTGGCGTTGCTGTTCGTGATGTAGTGTGGCCTGCGGCTTGTGCGTTTGAGACTGTCGATTGTAGATAGTTTGCCGTGCTGAACCATTGCCAGTGAGCCAAGGAGGCGAAGTGGGAAGCCCGGATCCAGTGGCAAGGGCAACACTACATTTGGCCCAGTCAGCGATATTGGCACGTGTTTGGCTGCTTCGTAATCGCACAATTGAAGGTATGTGCTTGCCAGCCATGGTCGGGGCGATCAATGCTGCCCACGCCTCAAGAAAATGGATGGCGTTGGTCCCGTGGCTCACCTGCTGCAACAGGTTCGGGGGCAGTGCGCCGGACACGATTTTGGCTGGACCTTTGTGTGGGGTGAAGAGCACAGCGGCCCATCCATTGTCGGAAGGCGATTTGGCCGCTGTTGTTTGCAAAAG